GGAGGGGAGGAAAAATGATGGGGGAAGGGAAGGAAGAATGCAAGAAGAGAGAGAGGGGTAAGTAGGAAAGAAGGGAAGACAGTCAGAAGCCAAGCTAAATACTTTGTCAGGAAAATTTGTAAACTAACTTTTAAAAGTTTACCTTAATATTACAATAGCCATTCACATAGATCAGTTCTTTCTTTATTATTAAGATGCAGTGAAGAAACCAACATTTCACTTATATTCTACAAATACAGACAGGAAATTCATTCACTAAAATTTATTATGTAGTAGGAGATGTGTTCCGTGTAGCACATGTGTTTTCACTAGACTCTAAGTAATACCTCATGTTCTTGAAAAGTAGGCAAATTCACTATGGAACATAAAAAAGTGGATTGAAATTCATTTTCTAAGTTTTATTATCGAATATATACAGATTAATACTATTAAGTGGGAAAACGATGAAATTTTCTTTTTTATTGAGAAATTTCCATATTTTAATTTCCAAGGTGTTTTGTTAGAAAGGTTGAGCATCCTGCCTGAAATGGATTGAACTAACTTTCCTTTATGTCCATAAGAAACAGTAAGTTTACTATGCAGATCAAATTTTAAAAAGTACAAACTAATTATGATGAACTCTGAAGAGAAATAAGTAACTGGAAATTTTTTCTATGTCCAGTATCAACTAAGCTGGACAATTTGCTGATCTTGGAAATACTTCTAAGACTCTGGCAGTTTGCCTTTAATCCATGCCTTCAATCCCAGCAGTTAATCTCATGCCTTTAAATCCCACCTTTAAATTTAATCATTGCTAACTAAATTTGCTAACTAAATCATTGCCTCCAGGACATTCGTGCTGATGTTAAGATTCTGCAAACTTAAGGGAGATGCAGGTTCATCAGAGAGATTATGAAATGGTAACCAAATAGATGGTTACTGACGCTGAGAATAGATAAGCTTGCCAAGGAGGCCAAGGTGAGAGAATGACTTGAGCTAGGAGTTTAAAACCAGCAAAGGCAATAAAGTAAGACCCCATCTACACAAAAAGTACAAAAAATTAGGCACATGTGGCAGCACATGCCTGTAGCTCCAGCTACTGGGGAAGCTGAGCTGGGAGGATTGCTTGAGCCTGGGAGGTTTAGGCCGCAGTGAGCTGTGATCATGCCACTGTACTCCAGATTGGGAAATAGGGCAAGACACCCTCTCAAAAAAAACAAAAGAAAAAGGAAAAAAAAAAGAATCAGATAGTTTTGTTCAGAGTATCTGGCCTTTAAATTTAATCATTGCTAACCAAATTTTTGCTTAAAAAAATGTATCACTGTCAGTAAGCTTTCTCATAATTAATTAAAATTATTTAGAATAATTATGCTGTCTTATAGAGATATTTTAGAAAGCAAAAAAGCATTTTTCTGTGATTTGAAAATAACACTTTAGGTGTTAAGCATCGAATTAAGTTTAACATTTTCTGTTCTGTGAAACTGTAAATATGATTTCTCTGAAACTCAGGAAAGTATATTTTTAGATGTTTTCCACACTTAAAATGAACATGATATGTGTAGGCCAAGCCCATCAGGAGTTAAGAGATTCATGTCCTTCAGTCTTTTGCTGGTCAACCACAAGTCTGACGAAGGTGGATCAATTTTAACTGAAAAGAGCTAACCTCTCTTGGGCAAACTATATGTGCACAGATTATGGGTAGACATAAAATCTCCTTTAAAACAGGGAATTAAATGCAAGTTTTGGCACCTCGAGGTATAAGGTAATAAAAAGTGAATGAGTTTTCCTTTAAGGTAGTTTGTAGTTGTAGTCTCCGAACCTATTCATTTCTCAGTACAATCTGTTGCTTTGTGTTTTAACTGTCTGCCCTGCTCATTTATAAAGGAAAACAAACAAACAAACGAAAAACTATCCCAGACTGGTGTTAAAAATTACAGTGAAGTATGATAATGTGTTTTATAGTTCTTAAAGCCAGATGAGGATAATCAATGAAAAACCTGAAAAATAGAAAGGCCATAATGAGGTTTAAAAAGGCCAGGAACGTCACTGTGGCTATAAATCTAAACCAAATAGTAAGTGGTACAGAAATGGGCTTGTGCCACTCCATATAGAGATGAGCCAAATGCTAATTTGGCTAAGTGCGCTACGCCAGGTCTTCGTTTGTTATGTAATCAGTTTTATCTGTTGCAGTAAAGATTCCCTTTTCATCAATTAATGTGAACCCAAAGCTGTAACTGGAAATGTGGCAACTGATTCATTCATTCATGCATGCATGCATGCATTCAACAAACATGTGAGAACAACTTAGTAGGTGCCAAATGCTAGGGAAAAAATGTGAATAATCCTGCCCTAGCCCTCAAGGAGCTACGATCTAGTTGGAAAAAAAAGGTGGTATTCATGCAATGTTAGTATCATGTGATATAAAAGTAAATTCAAGGATCTATGGGCTCCCCGCATGGGTAGAGAAAACTCTCATTCAGCTTTAAGTCATCAGAAAACAGAAAATGCTTTCCAGTAGAAATTCTATCTAAACTGAGTCCTGAAAGTTCATTAGTGATAAACTCAGTCAAGTCTTCAGTAGGGAAGGAAAGACACTCCAGGCACGGAAGAAAATATATAAAAACCTAGAAAGTAAAGGCACTATGGCCTGCTTGGTAGATTAAAACAGGAGCACAGAGTATGAGGGGGAGAGGTGGGAGGATATGTAAGGCTGAATAAGTAAACAAGGTGCCGATGACGAAATGTCTAGCATGTCATGTTACACTGGTATGGCTTTGAAAGGAGAAAAACATAAGTTTCAGAGAGATCACTCTGGTTGTAGTGCCATATTTGAAAAAGACCGAATAAAGATGACTCAAGGGTCTAACACTGTAATACAGGCAAAGATTTGTCAGAAATAAGGAGATAATACATATGGGAATAGTAAATGAAGTTATTGGTTTATTAGATTGGAGGCAGTAAAGAAAAGTGACAAATCAGGCAAGCTTGCCTCCACTAGAAGATAGATAAGAATGCAGGAAAAGGCATGAGCTTGAGGTAAAGGCTCATGAATTCAGTTTTAAACAGGTGGAGAGTCTATGGTGCCTCCAGGACATTCATGTTGATGTTAAGATTCTGCAAAATTAAGGGAGATGCAGGTTCATCAGAGAGATTATGAAATGGTAACCAAATAGATGGTTACTGAAACTGAGAATAGATAAGCTTGCCAAGGAAGCATGTGAAGTAAGAAATAGGGTGTTGAAAATGGAATTTTGACGAACATCAGCATTTTTCTGAAAAAAAAAGCGGAGCTACCCGAATCTGGAAAGGGAAGGAAAAAAGTAGAAAAGTGGAATGTCACAAAGTGAAAGGAAGTGAAAGTCTTTCAATACAGACAAGGCGGCTAGTCAATAGTTTTGAAGATCAGTGTTCTCTAGCTATAATCTATTAATAGTTGAATTTAAATTGGGGGTTAGAGAGGTTAGTCTGTGAAAATAATTGAGGGTGAAGGGCAGGGTGGTTGAAGGCTCACTGAAGGAAGTGAATGAAGTTATGGACCATGAACTCTAATCTGGAGAGGGAGGGAATTCAGGAAACAGGAGCAAGGTGCAGAAACTGAAAAGGTATTAAGATCAGTCAATTTTAAGTCTTGAAGGAGTTGGGATCCTAGACAAAAAGAGATGGAATAATAAGGTGAAATAGACAGAAATGCCAATACTTGAATTTCAACAGAGGAAGGGGATTCAGTTATGTTTCATCCTCAACAGAGACCCACTTTTGTTAAATCAGTTCAAGTGGATTAGGTGTGGGGAAGCTGGTCCTGCAGAGGGTGTGCACACAGCAGTATCACAGCTTCCTGCCTGCTCCACACAGGGCACTGCACACAGAGTTCAGTAAAAGTGAGTTCAGAGATAAGGGATGAAGAGGACTCTTCAAGATCTGGATGTGGTCTGGAACCCCTATGTTACCATTTCCATTCTATTTGACATATAAACTCAGACCTTAGAAAGTGGCTTTCATCAGTCTCATGGTCTTAGTGCAACTGATTTACACTTTTGTGGGGTCTCTTCTTCTCTCAAGGATATTTTTAACTCTCCAACTTGGTGCCC